TCATCAGAGGTATTAGTTGGTACTAAGGTTAAAGGTAAAAAGGTTGAAAAAGGATTAAAGAAAAACAAAAGATTAAGCTGGAGGAGACGAAATCCAGCAACGAAGGGGAAGATTTGAAGTCTCATGTTTATGGGACATTACATAGTCGGATGTCCCTTCATCCATAGTTCAAGTTATTGAAAAATGTTCAGAAAATCAGTTGAAAGCTATTAGAGCAATAGGATTCGGGTCTATGGAGTTCTTGAAGGTGACCCAACTGCCTTTGCAGCTGGGTTTATGGTTAGTGCATCACTTTGATGCTAACACATGCTCTTTAAACATTCCAGATTCTGAACCTTTTTGTATCACTGAGGAGCATGTGCATCAAGTACTTGGGCTGCCAATGGGTGGCATAGAAATTGACAAAAATAATTTTTTCCAGAGATAAGAAAGTGATTCAGCAATGGAAGAAGCAATTCAAAAGCAACTCACTCTCTATCAAAATAGGGGAGCTGAAAGAGTTTATGAAAGAGCATAACTCAGCTGGTCTTATGTTCAAAAAGGAACTTTGTAGTGCTATGCGTTTCTACATTGATGGATGGTAAACTTTTTATTTTTATTTTGCTTATTTTTAGTTATAGTTAGCACTTAGCAGTTGTGTGCTATATATAGCAATTATATTATCTAAGTTGTTGGTCATATATGTATAGAATCAGTTACTTGAATCTATACATCATTAGATAGAGACTATTGACACTTTCAGAATAAGATATATATATATGTATTTATCTTTTGTTCTATTTATTTATATTTGATGGATTATTGTTGTTAGTCAATGATGAGATGGGTGAAAAAATTTGGAATAGGATTTGGTACATACTTCATATTAACATACTTGTCAAAAAATTTCAAGTTATATTATAAATTATTTATATCATCAGGAAAAGGTGGAGAGTCAACATCATGGTTTAAATTTTATAGGAGTTTGCTAATTTTCAATTTTGTTTGCTTATTTATATTATATTTTGTTCATTTAAATTTCCTTTTGCTCATTTTTCTTTTGTTTTGCTCATTTTTTTTTTCAAGGAAAAAAAAATGTGAATATCAATTCTGATATTCTCACATTTCTTTCTAATGTTGATAAAATAAAGGACTTGAATTGGTGCAAGTATATCCTTGATTCACTTGTGAAGGCCAAGCTTTTCTGGGAGAACGTCAAACTCGTTCTTTTCCTGGATCTTTACTGTTTCTTATGGTATTACTTTAATTTTTGTTGTTTTTTTAATGTAGTATTTTTTACTTATTTGTTGATTTTTAATTTACTAATTATTTTTTCTTACTTGTTTGTAGCTATTGTATGTATTAATTTTTATTTGTTTAATTTTAATGTACTAATTTTTTTCTATCTTACTTGTTTGTAGCTTTTATACGTTGATCAGTTTGTCATTGAGGAAGTTAGAGCCAAACGAGAAACTCCAGTTCTCAAAGGTTGGACAACCAATATGTTGTCAAGTCGTGAGAAATTGGAAATTTTTAAGGGGAGGCTTGGAGTTTTTTATAAAAACCAGAAGCTTGTTGGTCCTTCTGGCAGCAAACAACCAAAACTGGTATTTCACTTGTAACCAATACTTAGTTTTTCTATGTCTTTGGCATTGCTTGAAGAATTGAATTGGAAAAAATCTTGCTTTAAGGAAAATGATGCAATGTGGTGCTTTTATAGCACATTAATGGACCTCCTAAATCAGCAAAAAAATATTTGCTCATTTGTCAAATGAGCAATTATTTTTTGCTCATTTGATACTATGTGATTTGGATGAAAATTACACAATTATGTAATATTTTTTTTTGTTTTTTTTGTTTTTGCTTGATTTTAGGAACAATCTGATCCAATTCATACAAAAAATGAAGAGATTGAACAAGATCCGAAGAAGGTATTTATATGACTTTTCTGGAAACTTATATTAATTTGCTCATTTTTATATGACTTTGCTCAGTTTTTTGTTTTTGTTTTTTTTTTCCTAATTTTTGTTATTTTTTACTTAATTGTGAATTTGTATTGTTGTTTTGTGAATTTGGGGATTGCCGTGCGATGAAAGAGTAGGGGGTTAAAAGGTTGGGGGTGTGCGAGTTGTTATTAGCCCAATCCCTATCCTCCCTAAGATACATCTTCTGGTTAGCTTTAAACATAAATCTGATTAGCTTTAAACACCTCAGATGGTAAAACCTCCTCATTAACATGTGTAGGTGTTTGCTCATTTGATAAATGAGTAATCAACTATTTGCTCATTTGGTAAATGAGCAAAAAATTGATTGCTCATTTGACAAATGAGCATCTATGTTTTAATTTACTGCATGATAGGACTTTTAGCTATTGGGGAAATGGATTTAAGGATCCAGGTGTAGTGTTAAATGATCCTCTAATTGTTAGCAAAAGAAAACTCTAACAAGCTGATCATGATTTTGCTCTAAAGTTTGGTACTCCTTTAAGTATTCAAGATGGTCTTGGCTTCTTTCCATTATTATGAATTAATTTTTTTTTATTTTTTTTTATAGAAATGCCTTATGGAGCTTGCAACAGCATCTACAAATCTAGTCTTGGCATACATGGATTTCAGTGAAAAACATGAAACTGCTGTTAAGTATTTTCCAAACAATGAGAAGATTCAAAAGCTGAAGGAAGATGCAATGACTGTTTGTGATGAGCAGAAGATGAGCTCTAAAGCTTTGACTGAAGATATTTCTCTCTCATTTAGCCAAGATGAACAGTATTGGCAAGATCCAGCTGTAATTGAAGCTTGGGATAGGTTTTCGAAGATTTCAGGTAATGACAAGCATGCTGAATCTACAATTTATGCTAGGGTTGATCAACTGATTGAATCAGAACCAATTGATATTACTAAGATTGCTGCTGAATGTGTTGACATAGCAAGTGGTATACCTGATGTTGAAGATCCATCTGTTATCATACAGCCTAAGGTTGCTGAACATGTATTTAAAAAACTTGGAGAGTCAAGTACGAGATATAGTTTAAGAAGTTCAGTTGCCAAAGGATGTGGAACTCCTTCATTCAGCTTAGGAATCTCTTCTCAAGATGATTCTCAGGAGAAGTCCCCCAGCATTGCACCTACTGATGAACCTGTAGTTGCTCCTGTGAGTGCACAAGTTGGTGCTTCTAAATCAGTTGATGATGCTGATGCTGTGAATGCTCAAGAAGACCCAATTGCGTTTAAGAGAAAAGGAGATGCTGAAAATGAGAGTTGTATTCCAAAGAAGCGTAAAGTGCAACCATCGTTGCAAATAAGATCTCCTTTTAAGTCTCGGATTATCAACATATATACACCATTAACAGCAGTTCAGAAAGGTGTTATGGATTCATTTTTTCATGAGAAGAAAAATCGTTTGTAAGTATTTATTCAATTTTTTCAGTTCTGGAAATTTTGGCAACTGACTTTATTTTTCTTTCTTATAACAAGTCTAGCTCTATATTCTCACTTTACATATCTACGATTAAAATTATTTTAACTTCCCTAAATCTTATATGTAGTGATGAGGGTTTTTATGCAAGGGTGAGCCTGATAATGAAGTAATGCTATTTCAACTTGAAATGCTAAAAACTCAGAGCAAAATTCATGGCGATATCATTAATGCATGGTCTACTGTTCTGAATTTTAATGAGCAATATAAAGATGTCAATTCTTGTGGACGTTTCTTTTTTGGTCTTAATGCTGTTGTAAGTTCAACTCGTTCATTTTATTTTGTTTTATTTTGTTCATGTTCACTTTGCTCATTTCATATAATTTTTTTATATTTGAATGTAGATGTTGTTTTGTATTTGCAAAAACTATTATTAGTTCTTTGCTCATTTGTCAAATGAGCAAACTATTCAATGCTCATTTGTCAAATATTCTTGCTCATTTGTCAAATGAGCAAAAATTAAATACTGAACTAATTCAAGTCTCTTATTGGATACTAAATAACATAAAATCTTTTGATAAAATATTTGAAATATAGAAATAATAATATAAATTCTGACTTCCTTGGTCTGAATCAATGTATAATCAGTGTTTATGAGTTGTATTATGGTCTAATTTTGGTCCTGCACAATTCGGACTCTTATTTATGACCTGTATTATGGTCTGAATCAGTGACGAGTGAGAATTCACAGACATGCTGCATCTATAATTCTATATGGTCTTAAACCAAAGGACTTAATTCTTTATGTTTATGATGCTATCTGACAACTAACATTCTGTATGTTCTGTAATTACATAAATAATTGAATGATAGCTGCAATTAATTCTTTGCTCATTTGCCAAATGAGCATTTAATTTTTTGCTCATTTGTCAAATGAGCAAAACATTCACTTGCTCATTTGTAAAAAAAATTTCAATTTACTCATTTTATGACTTTTCTCATTTCAAATTCACTTTACTCATTTCTTATTTACTCTTTTCATTTATGTTCATCTTATTTATGTATTTTTCTTTATTTATTTTTTTAGGATTTCCTTTTTCAATACGAAAGTGATCGTGCTCAAGAAAGGAATAAAATGTTTTGTGAGGTTGTGGAGTTGGAATTCAGCAAAACAATCATCCCAAAGAAAGATATTGAGCTTTTCTTTTTCCCAGGTATTTGAAAAGGATCATTATTATCTGGTATGTTTTAACACCACCACAGACTGTGGTACAATTGAGGTTATTGATTACAGTGAAGGTCCTAGAGAAAATAAGAAATTGCTTAAAAATCTGGTATGTCTTCTGCCACTTCTTCTTCATCATTAATATCCTCATTGATGCCTGCCATGTTGTTACCAGATTCTTTATTCATGTCTCCTCTCATTATATCACTGGTACCCTAACCCTTTCAGAGGATTCTCCTCTGAATTTCTTCTTTCTCCCATAACAAGAAAATACACACACACACACTCACGCCAGAGACACACACACACACATACACAGGCACACACACACACACACACACACATACACACACACATACACACACGCTCACATACACACACACACACACACACAAGCAAAGTCTTAAATAGCTTCCTGTTAGTCTCTGTCTCTGACCTCACTTTGAATCTATTCATGGTCAGCTTGATTCTTTCGGGATATATGACATGTAAAACTTTTCTAGAGGATACTTGCAAAACTCTGTGATTTATTTTTCTACATAATGTGCATCTCTGCATTTGAACAATGTGTTTGAGAGTTTCTGATTGTATACAGGCACACACACACACATACACAGGCGCACACAAACACACACACACATACACACACAAATACACACACACGCATACACACACACATACACACGCACACATACACATACACACACACACACACACACACACACACACATACAACCTGTAATAGAATCTGAAATCAGATTCTGAAATTAGTTTTTGGAATCAGAATTGTGTAATGTGTGGGTAGGTTTGTGTGGGTAGGTGGCAGTAATGGCTCAAGATTTTGTTAGATTATTTTAGAAAAATGATTTGAGTTTAGTTGTTTATCTTGATCTTGTTCTGCTTGTTCTAACTATATTTGTTCCACCTGTTTTTGTTCTTATTTTAACTTATTTGTTCATTTTCAGAAAAGTGCATTTTCATATTTCATGAATGGTGAAGAAAGTATACAAAGTGTTGTTTTGTCAAAACAAATCAAGTCTATGGAGTCTGTTGTGGTTGATTTACCTTTGAAGTCTTCAGATGATTATCATTTGCATTGCGGTGTTGCAATGATGAGGCATATGGAAACATATATGGGTTTGCAAAAGTTGAATTCAGGTTTAAAGAAAAATAATGTAAGTCTAACCAGAAAAAGTCTAATTGCAATTTTTATAATTTGATTCTTCTGGAATGAGAAATCTGCACTTTTTAGATTAAAATTTGTGAGCAGCTTGTTGATATACATTCATGAAGCCATTACTTACCCTATACTTACTCTGAATTATTGCTTCAGTTTTTCTCTTTGCAGGACATAATCATTGACAAACTTCGTTTGAAGTATACCCTCTCAATTATTTTAAGTGAAGTAAATACTGTTAAACCTGTTAAACAAGTTGTCCAAAAGAAAAAAAAGGCTGAGGAAGCAAGTGATGCTGAAGAAAGCTAGGGGCAGCAATCCAAGAGCAATTAACGGAGAGAATTGAAGACTGAAGTTGATCAATTGTTCTTAGGATTTGTATAGTTTTTGTACAGAACAATAGAAGTGTTAGTTTTATGATGTTCTTAATAGGACAAATGTGATAAATGTTCTTAGTTGATCTAATGTTTATATGATGTTGTTAGGATTTTCTAAGTATAAATTTTGCTATGTCAATGTAATGGATATGATTTTCTATCTTATTGACTAAGTTGTTTGTCATTTGTTAAATTCTTGATTAACTATTTGAGCAACTGACTATTTGCTCATTTGCTAAATGAGCAAAGAAATGTTTTCTTATTTTTTAAATAAGTAACTAATTATTTGCTCATTTAAAAAATGAGGAAACTAATGCTTACTCATTTCACAAATGAGCAAAGAAATGGTTGTTGATTTAATGTATTATTAAAAGGAATGTTTACTCATTTGACAAATGAGTATTAACTATTTGCTCATTTGACAAATGAGTATTAACTATTTGCTCATTTGCCAAATGACCAAATAAATAATGCTAAAGCTTATATTTATATAAAAATATTAACTTTTATATTTGTATAAAAGTATCATTATACAAATATCAGCAAATATCTAGTTAATTTAGCCTCTATGATTTTGAAGATTAGGGTATGTTCTCTTTATTGAACTCATTGTATAATATCTTGGATTGGACTATTTCTGTTACCAAGGACATTACAATAGCTTTGGTATAATTTACATATGTGTGTATGATAGATAAACAGAGCTTGCAAAATATTTGCTCATTTCAACAATATTTAAAACACAAATTGCTAAATCATATATTTATATAAAAATATTAACTTTTATATTTGTATAAAAGTATCATTATACTTTGTTTGAACAATTTCTAATATCATGATGACTCAATTCACCACAACCTCTACATAATCTCTTCTTTTTCTGGTTTTGTTCTACAGCCTATTTCTTTTTCTCCCTTTAGCCTTTTTGCACTTCTACCTCTTGTTTCAACATTTGGCACATCAATCTCATCCCCTTTCTCTTTTGAAGTCTCTACATTTGATACATGAATTCCAGTCCCTTTATTCTTTGAAATTTTTGGAGGTTTGACAATTATTTCAGTTGGCACACTAGCTCCAATCAATAGCTCAATGTCTTGTCCTTTGTTGTTTGCACTTCCTGTTGTTTCATTATTCCTTGCAATCCTCTTAGCCTCCAAATCCTTTCTTATTCCTTGAAGATTTATCACAAGATCTTGAATATCTTCATCATTGCCTTCTGCCAAACTTACACAAGTGTGTATCTCTGACCATAAATCATTTAACAATTATTTTCTTGTCAATTAAATTAGCACATTGCTCCAACAGGTTTCCACCCAAGTCAAAAAATTGGTTTTTTCAGTGCCATAGTAGTCCATCTGTATAGCATATACTGCTCAGGAATGGTTTCAAACCTTTTTGCTTTCCAAACCCAAATCATATGTCTACATGGAATTCCTTGTCTATAAAACAACTTGCAAGAACATGTGGTGTCAAAGTTAGTTGGATTAAACACAACATCAAATGATCTAATCCGATTTCCTTCACTTACTTTTGCAACTTCCAATCCATTTTCTTTCTTAAATTCATCAACACCACATGAAAAACAAGCAATTTCAACCTCATATTGAAATTCATAAAAGACAGAGTTAATATATAAATGTGAGGCATGCTTTTCTATCCCTAGTGGTGTTTTGCACACAGGATATTTGTGCTTTGAATCATTATCATTCTGACCTTGAGTGTGTCTCTGGGCATCAATTGCAGCTTCATATCTCAAGTAAAACTCAACAAGTGACACATGAGGATTGATAAAGGAGCAAAAAAAGTTGTTTTCGCTTTCGGATCTTGATGTTGTACGCATTATTCCTCCAAGGAACACATCTCTGAAATACGCCGGAATCCACTTGTTCCTTATCTTGTACATATAACCTAACCACTCATGTTCTTCCAAGTGGTATTCAACCATCACCTTGTTCCACCTTTCTTCAAACTCAGCAGGTTCAATTTCAAGATGCCAAACACAAGCACATAATTTTTTTAGGAAATCAGTTTCTTCTTGCATGATTGATTTCTCCACCTTATCTGGTAACTTTTTCATTATGTTCCACATACAGAAGCGATGTTCAGTCTTGTTAAACACACTTTTAACAGCAATTTTCATTGCTGGATCTTGATCTGTAATCATACAATTCGGTTCATTTCCACCCATTGCCTTGAGAAATGATCTGAACAA